ACTTTGCCTTGAAATAAAGTTCGAATTATTTATTAAGTATTTTTATATAAAGAGAGATAACTGTAAGTTAATTATAAAATTAGAGAATTTCAACACACAGCAATGTCTATCCAAAAATAATAGAAAAAAAAACTTTAATGTTTAGTTTTAAATTTAATATATCTCTTAAAACTAATGTTAGAAAAATATTTACAATTAGATATTTTTCTATTTTTATTTCGGTATAATAATTCTTTTGTAATCCGTTATGTGATAATATTCTTTGACAAAGTGTATTGTGAATTAGATTCAACGCCATTTATATATTTGTAATTGTTAGTATTATTGATTAACATTCATTGCCATGGAAAATCACACATCTCTAGTTTCTGTCTCACTGTGGCTTATAACATCAGAATCAAAAACGTCCTGGCATCACATGACATTGTGTAACAAATCCTGTGAGTCCAATATTTACGATGCACTCCACGCGCAGCATCGCGATGTCACGTATACAATTGGCAGTTTCGTTATGTGATGCAATGTCTCTCAATCCCAAAACATCGCAACGATCTCAGAATGCTGTATTTATCTCTCTCTCTCTCTCTCTCTCTCTCTCTCTCTCTCTCTCTCTCTCTCTCTCTCTTCCTCTCTTCCTTTATCTATATTTGTTTACCTCTCTGTCTCTATGTATGTATGTTGCAATAAAATAATTCGGATGCAACATAGAGAGTGAATGTTGTGCGTTATTATTATAGAACGAAAATTACATTGTATAAATTTTCGCAATATTACTAATTATGCTAATTAAGTCTCAACACAAACATTTTCTATGCACTCTGAACAGATTATGTAACCAAGTATTATCTTTTATGATTATTATTTTCAATTTCATCAAAAATTTGAATTTTTAAATTTTATCTTTTTCAGTAAGTGTAGGACAAAAAAGAAATTTGTTTACTTGTGAACTTTAAGAACATTTTTCTTTTCTTAGCACTTGAGGCAGATAACAGCTGGATGAAGTTTAAGAAAACTTTTAACGATTATTTGGGGAAAATGTTTATCTTGTGTCATTCTTTTTGTGTCATTTTTTTGAAGTTCGTGTGTTTTTAAAATAAAAGTAGTGATACCAGCCTGTCAAACATACAGACTCGTGAAAGTGTCGCTTATATTATCATAATTGTTGCATAAAATTGACGGCGCGAGATTCTCATTTTGATACAATATCTACATTTCCGTCTGAGACGTACATTTGTCTACAGAATGTAGCGCAACATACCTGCAGAAGATGAAGATCCATGCCAGTGTGTGGCGCGGCAACGGGAAACAAAGCGACTCCGTGGTCGATCTTGAGTGGCTGCACGGGTTTGTAGGAGTCTAAATCAAGATGATAGTCATTCTCGTCGCATTCCTCCGCCATGTAGGTTTGCTCAATTGCTGTCGTGTGAACGCTCAGGGTACGATGAAGGGAACCAGTAGTCGCGTCTCTGCCACGAGCATGTCGATGCTTAAAAAAATTATCCTTTGTTAAATTAAACCATATCGAATTGTTTAGGATACATATTTAGGATACATTGAAAGAAAGAAACATCTCTAGACAATAGTCGACGAGGCTTCTCTATATAAATACAATACAATTAATATCAGATTGCAGATTAGAATTCTAATTACTTAATATTACTTAATTACGTAATATGCTTTCATATATGTCGTATATTTTTATATACATACATATGTGTTATACATATATGTTTAAATTTTTCAAATGTTTTTCTTGCATAGCTTATTAATACTATATAAAACTATATAAATTCAATACAATTCTCTCACGTTATTGCAGAACAGAATTCTATTTTATAATTTTATATGTTGTATATTTCTATATACAATACATATATTTTATGCATGTGCATTTAAATTTTTAAAATATTTTTCTTTATACAGCGTATAGAATTATAAATTGAATTCTGGTACGAAGATTATTTAAAGCAGGCTTACACTAATTATTTCAAGCAAATAAATTAGTTTCAAACATCTATTTCTTTTTTGTTTGTATTATGTAAAGCGTAATGTTAATGTGACGTTAAAAGTATTCATTAAGATTGCTCGATCTTTACATAGTTCACGCTCATTGATTAAATATGTCTTACCTTGTGAAAGAGCGCGACTTTGTCGAGAACGGAATTTGTATCATGGACTGGTGCGATGGGGTTCTCCGGTTTGTTCAAGGAGCCGCTCCTTGAACTCCATCCTGACGGCGTCTCTGTGTTACTCTCGACGGCGATCCTGGCGACCGGCGCAGAGGAAGGCACGTGTTCTTGAGGTTCACTCTCCTTAATGCTAACACGTGGTGACTCCCGATTTTCCTTGAACTCGGGCTGAGGCTGAAACATGTCGAGCCAACGATATCCTTTAAGAATCGCAGTTAAGTTTGTTATACAAGGGATTGTATCCATATTATGGAAAAGCCTCGATCTACTTCATGCTGTGATTCAATAATTATACAATGTAATTCAGAATAAATAAAGTATTAATGAAAATGCGATATACTCAGAGTAAATGGCTTCCATTTTCATAATATATTTTTTTTCAGAGATATACGAAAATCGGAAAATTGCTGAAGCTAAATAACTGTTATTTCATAATAAACACGGACAGAGCAAAATAAATTAAACATTTTATTGTAGAAATAATTTTTTATTTTTATTAGCATGAAAAAGGAATACGTACAATTTGTAAAAATAAATATTACAAAAAAAATCATCAATTTAGCAAGCATTTTTTTGAAAGTGTTTAATTCGTTTTGTTCTATCTACTCTCTAATATTGTAAGTTTTACTTACAATATTTAGTTTTAGAAACTTCCTGATTGTTACCTCTGTACCAAATATTTAATTTTAAAAGGTATGTTTACATTTATGTTTATTTTATTATGCGATTTTACTATGAGAAAATAAAAACAAAAGAAGTTTAAGAAAAATAGAAATTCCTTGAAATTTTAATGGTCTGTTCAAAGTGTACAATAATGGAATTAGTCTTTAATTTCATGTAACATAACATAACATTGACAAATACATAATTGTAAAACTAAATACAAAACGACATACCAAACAAAATATGAATGTAAAGAGAAACACGATAATTCGATTTACTTATTAAAGCGATTTGCATGCGAGACAGACACTTTATGAGATCATAAAATATGTAACAAATAATATAAATAAAACATTATTTTAAATAATACGGAGTATAATGCGTATAAATTAATTGATACTATTTCTGACATAACGTTATTGATCATAGAAACTCAGAAGAAATAAAACACTGTCAACTGTTGTTTCGAGTATATTACATCATTCCATGCGTAATAACACCTCGAAAGAATACATTGTTTGTGACAAGATGCTCAATTTCAAGGATGTAGATTCGATAATCCGAGTAACAAAGTTGCCTTTGTTCCTCGAAGAGGAACTTGGCTTTCGAAATGGGAATCAATAGTTTACGGTTTGCTCTCGAAACGCAACCTCGAAATACATTCTGGCGTGTTCATCAACAGGAATATTGGATGGCCCTTTAAGTCTGTTAATGACTAGTAACATATAAAGAGCTCTCTCACTAGTGTAAATCTCTCGGCAATCTCGTAAATACGTGGCTGGTAGAACTGAGAAAGTGGAAAAATCGTGGTTCTCATTTTTAATTTTCCGTGAAATTTCTGTCAGTACATTTTTACGTTTCTACAAAGTGTAGGGAAGTAATTTAATTAATGAATCAAGTAATATATTAAATGAGTCGAAATGTGCTTATGGCATTTTCTTGTGTACTGTGGCTATAATTACTATCGGAAATGTACGTATAAAAATATCTCGAGTTGAAATTTTAGTCTACTTTGAATTCCTTTCAACCTCGATCAAACCTTATAAACTGGTTTTGATACTTGAATAATCAAATAGAGCCTCTTTTAATATTACTTAATCTACAGCTTTTATTTAGAAAACTTCTTTTGAAATCTCTTCCTAAAAATAGGAAATCTTGTAATAATTACCATTTACAAGTTTAAGAACTCAATTAAATTAGAAATTTATTATAAAGCTCTAGAGTCTACATACGTCTAAAATTAAGATTCAAGTAGGAGCAAAATTTCAACTTGAGATATTATTTATATATATTAGAATTAACAATATTTAAAAATTACGTCTTTAGTTTTTATAGCAAAGTTCTTAAGTCGCGTTAATGCAAAATATACAAGTAATAGCTCGAAAGCTCGTCTATCCATAAGCTAGAGGTGTGCTAGTAGCAAGAACTTTAATGCGGCTTATAATTAACTGTTATCCGATAACCTTAATCTATCGCATGGATATATATTGAGCGGTCGTTCTACGACAACGTCATAAGGTAATGCTGTTTCATTTTATCGCGTCGTGTTACACGCCGATCGACCGACCATCAGACGGCATCCTAAAGCCGGTAAGTCGTGCTATCCAAATTGCAAACGTGTTGAAATACACGTTTGCGAACATGTTGTCGACAGAAAAATTTGGATATGTCTTGATTGAGCTATTTGTGGAAAAGAAATATTATGGTCTGGCATTAATTTAATGCTCTCGTGAAGTCGGTGATATCAATTTATTACATGATGGAATACGATATCATTTTTAATCGAAACTCGAACTGTCGGCAAACGGGCAAAGCAAACAAGATGAGAGAATTAACAGTTGAAGAAGAGTCGAAGATATCTTGGGAAACACAACTCATAAAAATTTTATTTTAAGATTTACTTTAAAGGAGAAAGATGTTAATTTAGTTCTTGCTTGTTATAAAATAGGACATTATTTTTATAAAAATTATCTTTTTATAAAAAAAAACTCTTCAAGTTAAAAGTAAGTAGGTTTATTTAGGTCAATTCTTTAATATTTAAAAGTGGATGAAAGTTGTTCTCTCTCATTTATTAGTTATTTAACTTGCATATATATTCTAATATAAATTCTAAATATTTTAATAGTTTTAATCAAGTCTCAGATTTAATTAAAATGTTCTAATTTGAAGTAACGGTGTAGAAACAATAATGTAGACATAGGAAATACGACTACGTAGAGAGCGACAGTAATATTTGATCTTTCGGAGTTTAAAGCTTGGAACCATCCGTGGCAGACGTGATGCCGGATGACTTTTGCGATTGCTTAACCTCGTTATCCTTCCTTCTCCTTCACGGAAATGTATCCTAAAGAAAATATGTGCCGATGAGGGGGCAACTACCAACACTCGGGATAACAGAATAACGCAGGCTAAATGTCTGGCACATCCAATGCACTCGTGCCGATACCGATTTGGAATTCCATTTGCAAGCCGCGACATCCGCATCGTGGATATATTTGGTTTGGCAGATTATACCTTCTAAAGAGAGAGAGAGAGATAGATAGATAGATAGATAGATAGATAGATAGATAGATAGATAGATAGATAGATAGATAG